TTAAAGGGCAAAATGGTAATTTTTCCTTTTTCATATTAAAAAAAAAAAAACTAAAATCAAATAATTAAATCAAAAATCAAAACCCATGTCATCTTCTCCAACCACCCAACCCACAATCAAACTGCCGGCACCACCACACCGGCACTCCCACCTCCTTCCACCACCATGACCGCCGTCACCTCCTCCCACGAACACAACCTCAGTTGCAATTTTCCCTAAATTAACTCATATCACCACTCCCACCCCAACTCAATTTCATCCAAACACTAAAAGCCACTGCCTCTTTTCCAACCAAGAGATAAAAATAACTGAACTATTCTTCAATTCCTCCTCAAGATTTGACAGCCTAAATTGTCCTTACCATTGAAAAAATGAAGCTCTCTTTCCTCATGTATACATCTTCTCTATCCCTTCTGTTGCTTCTTCTGTTCGACACTTCTTTTTATCCTTAAATATTATTCTTCATGTCCTGTTATGTCCCATAAGCTAAATAAGGATAATAGCGCACTTACAACCATAATTCTTCAGCGTTGAATAGAAATCCCCTGAGAAAATGTTTAATCACAGCTTTCAGTAAATCTTTACATTTCACTACCTCTGTATATCTTTCAACCATCCTGCTGTAGGACAAACCTATTACAAATAGGATAGGAATTAGGGAAAATTGCAGAAGAGGAATTGGAGAATGGTTCAGTTAATTTTATCTCTTGGTTGGAGAAGAGGCGGTGGCTTTTAGTGTTTGTATGAAATTGAGTTGGGGTGGGAGTGGTGACGTGAATTAATTTAGGAAAAATTGCAACTGAGGTTGTAGTGGTGGGAGGAGGTGACGGTGATCGTGATGGTAGGAGGACGTGGGTCTGTTGTTGTGGTGGTGCCGACGATTTTATTTTGGGTTGGTTGGGGGTGGGGTGGGTTTTGATTTAATTATTTGATTTTAGGTTTTTTTTATATGGAAAAAGGAAAATTACCATTTTGCCCTTTAAGAATTAGTTAACAATTTGTTAGATTTTTAATTTTTGGTCAATTGACGGTCAAACTAACGGATGCGAATTGTTTAAAAATTTGGTACCGTGGGTGGTACAAATCAAATGTTTGAGCAAAGTCTGCAAAAATGTGAAATGCTTGGTATCGTGGCTGCAATTTTCTCAAAAATAAAATATAATAGAAATAGAAAAAATTAGAGTGTATTTGGGATACATTTTTTTGAAAGAATGTATTATTGAATAATAGATTGATGGACAATGTGTGGTTAAAAATGAAGGAAAAGTTATTGATGTGATAGAATATATTATTTTATTGAAAAATGTGTGATTGAAAATGAGTAGATAAATGAGAATGAAAGAAATAATGTATATCAAATCGGGCCTCAATTTCCAAAAATGTAAGCCCCCTTTTTCACAATCGATTCGACATGCCTATATAACCACCGCCATATCCCCAAATCTCCCCATTTACACAGCGAAAAACCTCAAACCCTAGGCCTTTAATCTTGCAAGATCTGCATTACTATTTGTCTATAAACCACTAATGGCTTCTAAGAGGTCCGATTTCGGCGATGGCGCTAGCCCTGGGTGCGTTCTCTGCCCTTTCTCTCTAAGATTCAATACTGTATGCATTGTATGCATCTCTTTGATATAATTGATGATGAAAATTGATGGGCTTTAACTTTTTGTTTTGAACAGGAAGATTTTCATCGGGGGTCTTGCGAAAGACACCACCTTAGGTTCGATTTTTTCCCCTAGGGTTTCTTACAATCTTTAAATTGTGTCATATTTTACTTGTAATTTTCTTATAAAATTGGAAATTTTGCAGATACGTTTGTGAAGTACTTTGGAAAGTATGGAGCTATTACGGACTCTGTAATCATGAAAGATCGGCAAACGGGTCGGCCAAGGGGTTTCGGTTTCATCACTTATGCCGATCCCTCCGTTGTTGACACTGTTATTGCTGAAACCCATGTCATTAACGGAAAACAAGTGAGATTTTATTTTGGAAATTCTCCATTTGCTTTGCTGGATTATTTGAACTTGAACTTCGCCTAAAAGAAATTGGTTTATTTTCATGACATTGTTTTGATAAAATTGAAATTCATTTTAAATTAATGATTGTGCTTAGAGATAATTTGTTACTCAATAATAATTTGTTAATTATAGGAGATAAATATATGATTCGGTGTTTTATAGTGTCTATCAGTTCATTGAGTATTTTGGAAAATTAGAGGGAACTATGTCCATTATTTTTGTGTTTTATGCGACTAGAAAGAGATCTAGACACCTACATTAGAGGGTTAGATTTAAAATGAAGCATTATGTGCTGTGTGTTTAAACACTTATTCGGATGTGGCCATGCAAGTGCTTAGTGCTAACTGCTATGTGGCCACGTGAGGACAAGTCTTAATCTTTGAGAATTTTATAGTGGTTTGACATTTCTAGATTCAGTAATGTTGGGAGGAGACACATTAATATTGCTTCCTGTGGCCAGGTTGAAATCAAAAGAACCATCCCAAAAGGAGCTGCTGAATCCAAGGATTTTAAAACAAAGAAGGTTTTTGTTGGCGGGGTTCCTACTTCTGTCACTGAAGGTTTGCACATAGCATAATTTTAATTGCTGATTTTTACTAAGCAGCTGCAGTTCATATGATGTTTTCTGGGTTACTGATCTTGTTGAGTCTCTCAAATTTACTCCTGCTTAGATGAATTCAAGAATTTCTTCTCCAATTATGGTAAAGTGGTCGAGCATGAGATTATTCGGGACCACGTGACCCAGAGGTCTCGAGGCTTTGGATTCATTGTGTTCGACAATGAACAAGTAGTTGACAATCTGCTAGCTGATGGAAATATGATTGATATGAATGGAACCCAGGTGAGAGTCTTCCAGAGGTTTCTCATAGTATTGGAAGTGATAGAACATATTTGTACTTATAGAGCATGTATTCAGTATCACACTTTAAAGTGCTTTGATGCTGGACTTCGAAATCTTAAATCTATTTTACTTTATTCATCTTACTTTTAACCTACTTATGGGTAAATTATGGCATAAGAGAAGGTTATGGGTTCTCTAATGTAGCTTGCGATTTTTAGTGCTAAGCTGTCAAACTAATTGCAGGTGGACATTCTAGGTTAACTTTCTTCTTTGTTGTAGGTTGAGATCAAGAAGGCTGAACCAAAGAAACCCTCAAACCCAACACTTGCTTCTGCACCCAGTAGTGATTCTAGGGGTCGTTCATTTGGCGATAGGTTTGGTGGATTCGGCAGTTCTTATAGCAGTTTTGGCAGTGGTAGCCATGGCCCTGCTGCTTCTTATAGGTCACTTGGATCAGGTCTTGGTGGTAGGTTTGGCGACTATAGTGGATATGGTGGCGAAGGTGAATTTGGTGGTCGCTACGGGGATTTTACCCGTAGTGATTTTGGTTATCGAGGAGATGGCCCACTGGGCTATTCTAGTCGGTTTGGTTCTTACGGTGGAGGCTTTGGTGGGGGATATGGAAGTGGGTTAGGTGCCTATGGCCGTGGAGGTGGTTATGGGAGCTATGGGTCCGGTCCAGGTGCAGGATATGATTCCGGCCCTGGTGCAGGATATGATTCTGGCCCTAGCTCTGGTTATAGTGGACCAGGAGGGTTGTATGGAAGTAGGGCAGGCTATAGTGGCAGTAGTCGTTATCATCCCTACGCCAGGTAGATTTTTGCTTAAGCAAGTCCTTGTAGGAGTTTTCTCATCTCGGTTTTTGCATCTCATGGATCGGAGTCAACTAGATATTCAATCTGATAGCAAGAAGACACTCCTTAGAGGATCAGGCGAACTTTAGTTCGTATCTCTTATTGTGTGCCTAGCTTGTTTCTAATTCTGTAGATTAGAGAACCTTGTTGAGGTGATTCTGTTTAGATACTTGTTCTGTTTCTCAAGTTAAGATGTCTTATACTGTAAGATTTATGTTTTAGTTTAGAATGACTTTGCATTTCATAAAGATTTTCCCATAGATTCTTGTTTTTGAATCCCTTGTTGCTTATTTAGAAATTAAGTATGCATGCTAAAGCGTTCTTTCTGGCCAAGTAGTGTTGTACAAACTTTGTCCCAATTAGTTAGGATTTTTAGTTTTCTCCATTAAGATAGATCTTAGTTCTTTCTTTTGGAACATAGATCTAATCAATCAATGGTACATCCTGATCATGCCTCATGTTGTGACTTAAGAAACGACTCATGAGTTTTTTCTTTACCTGGGAGTCAGAAAAATCCTTGTTAAGTAGTGTATTATAATATCCAGATAGAAGTTTGTGAATAGGAACATAATAAGCTTTATTAGTTTCACTTTCTATGCAGTTTTGTATGACATTAGAAAAGCTCGTTTTCTTGTTGGGTGATGGGATTATGAAAGACTTAAGATTTTCGAGGGGATTTAGATTTAGGTACTATGATGAGCACAGAGCAGTTTGCTATTATTGTCATGGCAGGTTCGACATTCTAATGGGTTACCAAGTTGATTGTGTTACTTTGATGCCATTGATATTAGATTTGGAAGTTGCTTGTCATGGGGATAAAACGTGTTGTTGGGGCCACTGCTATTTTATTATGCTTTTAAGTTTGGTCCTGCCATTGTAGATTTGTAAAAACTGGAATAAAACTTGTGAATATTAGTTAAAGTTCCTATTAGACCATCAATTTTTAACTTGTATCATTTGACTCGAGTACAAATAATCCAATTGGTAACATTCATGGCTAGATTCCTAAATTGATCAATCTACTGCTGTTCCTTGTGACAGCATCATGTTTAAATTTGATTTTAACTTTCAATGATGCAATAATGAATTAGTGTACTTGCTTTTTTTTTATTTTTTTTGAAATATAGTCTGTTTTACCAAAGTAGCTTGTGGCACAATAACTTCAATTTCTTGTAAATTATACGTACTGAAACGATCATAAAAGGAAAATGACTTCTTTTGGAGTCATGTTTTTTATCTCTTATTTGCTCGTAATTTTTAAAATTTTTTAAACCTTTATGAGAATCTTGATATGTGAGGTTACATAGAACGCTGTAAAGGTTAAAAATTTGAGTCAATGCAATGTGGTTGACTATGGTTCTTTTTTTATTTTGTCGGTTGGAACTAATTCTTAATTCTCTTCAATTTTAGCCCTTCTTTGATCTAAATTCATTTTTAATCGAACGTTTTTTTAATAATTCATTTTTCTATTTTGTCTGTTGGAACGCATTCTTAGTTCTCTTCAATTTTAGCCCTTATTTGATCTTCCTTATCAAAAAATTCATTTTCAATCAAATATATTTTTAGTGTGTTTGGTAGGGATTTTTTGGGGGGAAGAATTGATTTTGAATAGTGATATGATGGGAAATGTGTGGTTGAAAAAGAAGATAAGATTATTGATGTGATAGAAAATATTATTTTATTGAAGAATGTGTGGTTGAAAATGAGAATT